GGCGGCGGCGGCGACGGCCGCAGGAGGCGCAGTCTCCCTCCCAGGTGCGCGCTTCGCTCCCGGAGCCGCGGAACTCGGCGGCCGCCATGGCGTCCAACATGGACCGGGAGATGATCTTGGCGGATTTTCAGGTGAAGTATCTGGTCCTGTTCCCCTTCCACCTCCAACCTCGTGGGTACACGGTGCCGTGAGGGTGTCCTCTTCCGAGGGTTTGAGCGCTGCAGTAGTGTGTGGTTTTAGGCTTTTACACGGTTCGTGGCTTGGGGTGTGTGTGTGTTTTGTGAGCCGTGGGGGACTCACATGCTATGTTGGGTGTGTAGAATGTGTTAGGTACAGGTTGAATGGGATTTGTAGGGTGAAGGGATGTTATGATATTTGGTGATTATCTGTGTGAACCGTGTAGTAGTTACCGAATTATATGGGGAGTGTGTAGAATTTGGAGATACTAAGTGAGGAGATATTAAGTATGGGGTGTTCTGGGTGGCGAGTTTTGGGTTTGTTTTTCATGAGGAAGGTGTAAAGTATGGAGTGTGGGTGTGGAGCATGTGGTGTTGTGGGTGTGGTGTATTGTATTGAGGGAAGAGTAAAAAAGAATGAAAGGAGGAGGTGATGTGGTAGGAACTCTTCTAATTCCCTTACAGAGGGACACTGTGGTCATTTTCAAAAAGAAATAAACATTTTAGACTTTGAATGCCTTATTGGACTCCTTGGAGAGTACGAAGTTAAGGAGAAGGCGGATAGATTATGTATACCAGGATATTTCTGTGGTGAATTCACAAGCTTAATAAATTACCAGTTCATTTTTATGGATCCCCCTTCCCACAGATTTGAATTGCTTGATTGGTGTCCTTTCTCCAGGAATAATTTAAAGCATAAGTAAAGATTATTCCCTTACATATCTGAACCCAACTGTAATGACACTGGTATGTATCTTGGGGAGGTCCTTTGAAAGTAGAGCTGTGTGTATCACTACAAACTTGCAGTTGGGACCAATACCCTGTGAACACCACTTTTACTTTTTGTTTCTTTTTAAAAAATATTGTATTTTTGGTGAAAGTGTGCACAGCAAAACAGGTTTCCATTTAACAATTTCTACATATATTTGTTCAGTGACACTGGTTACATTCTTCACATTATGTCAGCATTCTCATTTCCATTCTAGTTGTTCTGTTCCCAATAAACTCGTCTCACTGCCCCCTCTTCCCCTTTCTCATCTATGATTTAGAGTACTTGTTGCCCATTTGGTCTCATATATATGATTTTTTAAACGAGTGCAGTACTCAAGGGTGATATTCTTTACTTTATGAGTTAGCCTGCTATTTAACTAAAAGGTGACTTCAGGATAGTTTTGATTCAGGATTTAAAGAGTATCTCGGGGATTCCTCCAGTATCAGTTGGTCCAGTAAGTCTGGATTTTTTGAGATTTTGAAGTTCTGTTCCACGTTTTTCTCTCTATCAGTGTTGTCATACTTAAAACTTTTTTTTTTTTTTATTTTGAGAATATACACAGCAAAGCATACACCAATTCAGGAGTTTCTGTACGTACTATTTAGTGACATTGATTGCATTCTTCAAGTTGTGCACCCATTCTCACCCTCCTTTTTTCTGAGTTGTTCCTCCCTCGTTAACATAAATTCATTGTCCCTTAAGGTTCCTATCTAATCTTTCAAGTTGCTGTTGTCAATTTGATACCATATAGATAGTTATTAAAAGAGCGTAATGCTCAAGGCAGACCCGGTTTTTACCAGTTAAGCTAAACTATTGTTTGGTTTTAAGAAGACTTCAGGGGATATTTTTCGTTTAAGGTTTAAAGATTATGTCAGGGCAATCGTTTCAGGGGTTCATTCAGTCTTCCTGGCTTGGGAAGTCTGGAGTCCATAAGAATTTGAAATTCTGTTCTGCATTTTTTCCCTATTGTTTAGGATTCTTCTATGGAATCTTTGATCAAAATGTTCAGTAATGGTAGCTGGGCACTATCCAGTTCTTATGGTCTCCTGGCAAAGGAGGCACTTGTTCATGGAGGCAATTAGCCACACATTCCCTATCCTCTTTCTGTTCCTGTTGCGCCTTCTTCCTCTGTTGCTCCAGGCAAATAGACCACTCCTTGTGCCTTGGATGGCTACTTGCAAGCTTTTAAGACCCCAGGCACTATGCACTCAACTAGGAGATAGAACAGAAGCACTAAACAAGTTATTAGGCCAATTAACTGGGGTGTCCCATGAAACCATGACTCTAAACCTCCAAACCAGGAAACCAAATCCCATGAGGGTTTTTGTTGTACATGAGCTGCCTTTGCAGCTATTCTCTTTTTTTTTTTGTCATTGTTGTAAATATGTCTGTCACAACTTTTGCCAATTTATCTTTTTACAGGTGTATAACTTATTGACAGTAATTACAATAATCAACTGTGCAACCCTACCCTTAATCAATGTGATACTTCTATCTATCACTGTTAGCCCACCCTTTCCCCATCCCTCCTGCCCCTGGTAACTGCTAATAAACTTTGTTCTGTATACTTTTGCCTTTTCTTGTCTTTTTATGTAAGTGAGGTCGTACAGTATTTGTCCTTTCGTCATTGACTTATTTCCACCTTTGCCTTTTGATGTTTGGTGAAGAACATATTGTAGTGAGACATTTTTAACCTTTCATTTTGACACTAATTAAGATACTGTCAGCTGCTACAGGCAGACTTCACCCTCTTTCTTTAATACTGCCATCATTGCACATAGTCTAACCTAACACAGTAGACAGTATTTTTCCTTACTGAGATTTTGTTGGGCTTTTTGTCTCTCTCTCTCAGTGTTCTTTTAAGTTCCTTATTTTTGCAACTTAATGTTCTGTTGAGTATTCCAGAGTTTGCTATTTTGGTTACCCAGTGGTAAGTGATTTATTAGGGATATGCATATATCTACATTTGATTATACTGTAATCTCCAAACTCAGGCAGAAAGGAGAGTTCTTAAAATAAAAGTTGACCACAAGCTTTGGGTGTTTTGTAGGTTTAAGATTGGCCTGAGATTTTTTGCCTACATAAACATTTCATCTTCTTTCTTTTTCATCCTCCAATTCTGTCTTTTATCTAATGTGAATACAGTTGTGTGAAAAAGGACATTATAATTCTAGGTGTAGTTTTATCCTGTTATAAAATTGTTGTGTTCTGGTGTATATGGCTTTAGACAAAACAGTATAGCTTGACGTTTACCTCATCAGAAGCTTTAAGATAATTACAGCATCACATCTTTTACTTCCTCTGATAACTTGTAGCTGCTTGCTCTCTTATTTGTGACAATTACGACTTCTGCTAACCTTATGTTGGCTAAAGGGCAGGAAATTTAGAATTCTTGCACTCAGAGGAAAAGTAAGATTTTCTGACAAACATCAGGGATTTTGGTTTGGAAATCAAAATGATTATTTTGATCACATTAATAAATTCCAGTAAGGTTTTCTCTTCAGATCAGTGACTGGTGACTAGTGCCAAATGGAAGAAAGCTAATGGCATCTGCAGTGAGCAGTTGTTTGCCAAATGGTGAGAGTTAATTTTATATTGCCAAATAGTTAAGAGAACGTTATTGGTAGAATAAAAAGTTATTTGGGAAACTGTACACGTTAAGCAAGTTAGCCTTTTGTGTGTTTAGGAACTCTGTATTTCTCTTAAAATGATGATACCAGATCAGTTTGCTTTCTCGGTCATAGTTTTTAAATTGACTATTCTTTCTATTTTTGTATTGAATAAGAGTTTTATGAGATTAACTTTAAAAAATAAACATTTATCCAATTATAAGCAATCCGTTAATTTGGATGCTCGGATAACACCAGCTTCTTCTATAACTGGGCAAATCAATTTCCATACCCAAAAGTGAATCATGGTACAAGTATACTTTATCTACCTCATGTGGTTGTGGGAATTAATGATTGTTTTGAGAGCTCAGTGCTGCCTTTGTAGAAAGAAACATAATTTTAAAATATGATTTGGTTTTAAAAATAAATAAGTGCCAGATTTTGATCAGTGCTGGATAGTAGGTTCTAACAAATACAATGTCTAAATATGGAAAAGCTTTTGAGAAGGATTTTGTATTCTCTTTGACTATTTCAACTCACTAGAAAAAGAAATTTTATTGAAATTAGTAGGAGAGTTGTGATAAATAATGAATGGATATTATAGCTGAGATTTTATGGGATATATTTGGGACTTTGTAGATGGGCGAACTTATTACAAAGCAAGCATATTCTAAATTGTCCTCTGAAGGATTTTTTCCCCCAAATAAAACAGCTCCCAAGGTTTTGAATGGACAGAACGACCTTATCCTGCTTACTCAGTTGTTTTTAAATTCAGCTCTGAACAAGTGAGTTTAGAATTTGGAACATTCTACCAGAAATCAGTTTTAAATGTAAATACTGTTAGCTAGTTTGTTACTGGTAAAGGAATGAATAGAGTAGTACACCTACAGTTCTGGCTGGCCAGAGCCAGGTGGGGGTGTAAAGGAATTTCCTGGGTTTAAAAAAAACAGGCAAGCATTGATGAATCGTGAGTTTTTTTCTTTCCTTAATGTCTTTTTATAACAAAGAGATGCATTCAGGTGAAAGTTCCAAATCTTGTTCTTTATGTAATTGTAGAATTCTTTAAATTTTTTTTTTTTTTTTTAGGTTGAGGTGTGGAGTAAAAATCATTGATCAAACAAACTTTTCAGACCCTATTTGATTTCCTTAAAGATGTGAAAATAGTTATCCAAACAGAATTGCACTTGGTATCAAATAATTTTAGCAGCATTCGTACCTCTTACTTTGAGCCTGGACAGACAAAAAAAAGAGTCCTCCATCTCTCCCCTATACACTTTCAATTAATGCCATGCTAATTTTTTACCCTGTCTGAGGTAAATTTTTATAACGTATACATTTTCTTTGGGAACAAAACGGATGGTATTGCAGTTTAGATTAGTCTCATATGTTGGTCTGATTTATTTTTCCATTTATGTTTCTCTGTTGCTGAGAATATAGAGACAGAGGTCATTACTGTAGTGAAGGAAAAAAAGAGCAACTCTCACTAGTAGTAATATTTTCTTTCACACTTTGTCAGAAACAAAATCTCACCTGCCTTGTTAAAAAAATATTCTTTCTCAACCTAGTTACAGTGA